TTATGTAGTCCGAAAGTTATCAAATTAAAAACTAGCAATATGAATGCAATAAACAAATCAGGGTCATCTGTTTTCATATGAAGTCTCTTGATGATGCTGTTTCTGATATGAGTATAAAGAAATCACACTGGTATTTCACATGGAAAATTAAAGTAGTTGCTTACTTATTGATACTTTGTCTAGAATATAAGTTGATATAAGTTTGGGGTTGCTTCATGTATTACTTCATTGCTAGATTTAAGATAGCAGAAGCAGTTCAGACACATTGCTCATTTGTAAGCACATTTGACATTTTGTATGTGATTCAGGAAAAAAAAAAAAAAAAAGCCAAACAAAAAAACAAGTAAAATTATGGCAATCACAGTGTTGTGTTAGGGAAGCTTTTTGCCTTCTCTTTCCAGCCCTTTCAGTCCTTTGTTGCCTGAGCTGTGCTGCTGCTGCTGAGCTCTAATCCAGTCTCTGTCTCAACAGGAAGAAGACAACATTTATCTTGTATCTCAGTGGTGTGAACATTCAAGATTGTTTACAGAAGTTCATGTAAGATGACAAAAGATTTACTCTTTGAACACATGCAAGTTCCTGTACAGAGTGTGTGCCCATGAAGATGCTGCAATTTGTGGATCACCTTGGCTGTTTCCATGAGAGATGCACATAGAGGTCCTGGGAATCTTTAATACTAACTTTTGAAGATTTATAAGTTGACTGAATCAAAAGTGGAAGACCAACAGAGAAGATGGGAAGGGAGCTATAACCAGCTATGGGCTGGTGTAGGCTTATCTGGGACTGGAAATGTTGGTTACTTTGGCTTTAGTCTTTCCCAATAGCACCATCTGATATTATTAATATGGTCTACAAGCAAACACTGTCAGTCTCCAGACAATTGTAAAATGCAGAGTTTTGGGGAGAAATGATTTCTCCATCTCACTGAACTATTTTTTCCTTATTTTTCTGTAAAACTAGAAGAGTGAGGCTTGTCCACATGCCTCAGGAGGGTGTCGTGAGGATGAGTCAGATATGATCAGCTATTTTCTACAAACATTGAAAGCTGCTTTTATATACCAAGTGTGATTTATGGCTGGGAAGCATTTGAATGACAGCCTAGTGCCTCTGCTTCCCATAGTATGGCATATACCAGACTTATTCTTACAGGGATGTGAGAGAATAAGGGAAAAACAACAACATACAGGTGCAGTGGGGCAGTTCTGGTCCCTCCAAAAATATCTTCAAAACCAGTGTTTATGCTTTTGTCACTGGAGACAGCTTGTGGAATCATCAGCACTGCATAGGCTTGTCCTGCAGCAGGTCATGGAGGGAGGTAAAATCAGACTGGAGCAAAAGAGGTTTGGTTCTGCTGCTGTACTTCCTCTAGGATAAGGATCCCAGCAGAGACTCCAGCATATAAAGCTCTCCTAGCTTCTGAAGACCACACTAGAAGTTTTGTAACATCCATGCTGCTAAGTGGGTGCCCAAACTAAGAACTGGAGAACTGCAGATTTTGTGAATGAGTTTCTGGTTGGCTGCTGTCAGCAATAAAACAAAGCAAAGAAAGGGTTATGTGCTGGCTGCTGTAACAGGATTGGGAAAATTCTTTGCAGAAGAGTAAAGTAGCTTCTCAAGTGCCTTTGGCTCACTCATAACATGCAGTTTAGCATTACTTCATGCTAATGAGGAAAATAATGTATTTGTGGTGGCATGTGATAAGTAACTGGTCTGCACATTCCCAGCAGCAATAAAACAAAGCAAAGAAAGGGTTATGTGCTGGCTGCTGTAACAGGATTGGGAAAATTCTTTGCAGAAGAGTAAAGTAGCTTCTCAAGTGCCTTTGGCTCACTCATAACATGCAGTTTAGCATTACTTCATGCTAATGAGGAAAATAATGTATTTGTGGTGGCATGTGATAAGTAACTGGTCTGCACATTCCCAGCACTTTCCTGAGACTTTCCTGGAGAGGTGCTATGTACAGAGATAACAGTGTTACTTTACACTTTGCAGAAAGTAGCCACTCCTGCCCTGCATCTTCAGTTATCTAGGGTTTCTGTCTCTGAAATCTTAAAGCAAATAAGTGTCCAAGGCTCCTTTTCCTGGAGTGAGGTGTAGAAGCCAAGGCAAGTGTGGAACAGTGCACACCTGAAAACAAGCACACACCTTGCCATGGGCTCCTGGATAGGTTTGAATTGTTGGAAAAAGGGTTGTTTCCTGAAGTCACAGTCGATTATCAGTTCTTTGTTGTAAATCTGTTCCACAATGCAATCGACTTGTGCAGACAAATCGTCTTACATACTGAATGTCTGACCTTCTTCACCTCCTCTGTTCCCCCCTGCCCTATGCCACATCCTCTCTATCAGAGCATGCATGCTAGAGAGCTGTCAGAGAAAGATAATTGAGATAACAGAACAAGGTACTTGTTACGGTAATTAAGTAACTCAATGCATTAGCTGCCTTTTGTTTTCATCTGTCAGTTGCCCAATCCTGTTGTGAACCAAACTCCAGAGCGAGAAGAGAAACAAACTCCAGAGAGAAGAGGCCCAGGAGCATTTGCTGGGTCCCACATCTGCCCAGAGGTTGGCCCAAGGCTGGCTAAAGGAATGTTCCAGCCTGCCAAAAGACATCCTTCCACAGGCGACCCTGGGTCTTGCAAAGCCTCACAGGGTGTGGAGTCCCACAGAGAAGATCTGAATACGCCTGTGGGGAGCCAGAGGATGAAAATACTCAAGGATGGAGCACTGCCATAATCCTGAACTCTAGATCACAGGAGTTTGGGGAAATTCACCAGTGCAAGCAAATACTTTGCATCACATATGCAAGGAGTATGTGTTCAGTGGCAATCAGCAATGTTGGGACTTATTTCAGGTTGCACAATTCTGCACTGAATGGTTTAAGCACACAATGATCCTTTCTGTCACATGGATGCAAACCAAGGCATCAGATGAGGAGATATTTTGCAGATGTATCTTCTGCAGTTTAGTAAGTTTGGTTGTTTTTTTTTCAAATTCTGTGCAAGTTTCCTATTACTGTCTTGCACAAGGGACTTGACTGGAACCTGACTGACTACATTTCAGTCTTGCCAGACTATGTTGGGCAAAACTGAATTTGTGTTGTGCCTTTTGCTTGTATTTCACCATTGCTGTATCAATTTCATAAAGTTAATGAAGTAATTTGGGGAATAAAAGTATTAGACAAAGAATTTTGGTTTTCTTTCAAGCTGCAGAAAACATAGGTTTGAACTGCACTCCTAGGACCTGGGAAGTCTTTTCCTCATCTATAAAAATCAATCAACTCTTTTCAGATTTTTTGCTAGAGATTATGGCTAGACAAAGTCCTGGTGAGCTGCACACACAAAGATATGAAGAGCAGAATGTCACAGAAACGTTGAAATAGCTTGGATTTGTGCTTGGAAAATATTAACAAGACTGAATATCAATTTGATGAGATGATATTTAGAAAATTGAGATCTGACATCATAGATTCAAGAAGATAGGTGGATGTTAATGAGCCTTTTTCTTCTGTTCAGGGCCAGTAGCATATGTAAGCATTTGGCTGATTTGTCAGAAACATGGATGATTTTTTTTTTGCACTAGAATGCTGAAAAAAGAAGGTTATTAAAACGTTATTTAGCAGAAAGCTGGCTGAGCTGAATGTGGAGTAGAAAATGTAGGAAGCTATGAAAATATGAGAAAGATGAAATGCTTGGTTTATTTTTTTTTTGTTTCATCTTCATACCACAGAAATAGTCTTTGGTATTTTAATATTTAATATTTCTTTGTAATATTTTAAGCAGGTGGCAGAAACACATGAGAAAATGCTTTTGATATATTACATAAATTTACCTCCTTTTACATAGTTGTATTGGATGCATTTTCTATAATCTTGTTCTGTCTTTTCCCCAAGCCCATACAAATGGAAAGCTTAAGAACAACAATGCAGTTGTTGAGCATTTCCATCACACTATTGATCCCAGAAACATGTTAATCCCATCAGTGAAAGAAAGAAAGGGAATTAGATGCCTGTGTCTGTTGCATGAAGTCTGAAAAATCCACCCTACTCCAGTGGAGGTGGTGAAAATGTGAGTCCTTGGAGGTGTTTTAAGATCCTCCATCTCCAAGGCCAACCCTGTTAAAATGCCTCATCTCTTTTGTTCCTCTCTGAGCCACAAAGGAGATGAAATCTGACCTTCTCTCACCTGTCTGGGATTTCCCTTCTGTGAAGAAATCTAAGAAACCACTAGTAAGGCTGGAATAGGAGGCTGAGATAAACATCTCCTCTTAAGTGTTTGGTTTGTTTTTTCCAGCAAAGCTCCTTTCTTGACACTTCTGTCGAGCTAAGTGGAGAGGTGTTAGAGAAGCATAGATGAGCTCCTGGCACTATGGAAAGAACTTCAAAGCCACATCAAATATGTTCTAAGAAAGAAACAGTTATCCACAACACATTCCACACACATTAAAAACTTGCTCCTATTAAGAACCTGTAATTAACGCTGGGTTTGGTCTTGCTTTTGGATGCTAAGTTGTTCATAAGTTCTCTCTTAGTGTATACTTAGAAGAAAAAATAGTGGCTATGGGCAGGAAAATTGCAGCCTTGCAAGCAAGAAGCTAAGTGACTTATTCATGGTGTGTAGATATTGTAAAAAAAAATGCTGCAGAAAGAAAATGCAAAATTTTTGTTTGCATCTCAAGTCCACAAATATTTCTTGTGCAGTGGTCAGGGTGTGCATTTTGCTGTAGCATCTCACATAAATGAAATTGTTGGACTGGAGCTTTGCAGAAGCATTTGGACACCCACTGGTATGAAAACAGTAGGTTCAAACCTTTCATCAAGTCCAAAACATAAAATGAAGACAAATACTTTTGGTACTCAGGTAAATTATAATTTTATTGATTTATCAGTTGTTATTTCTACCTTTTATATTTCAGGTGGACAATAAATACAATAAATAACTTTTCTGTTCCCCCTTCTTTTCAGAGAGTTTGGAGGTTTTTTAAAGCTTTATTTTAAAAAAAAAATTAAGCACTGGATTTACTGAATGCTTGGTAGGTTCTCAGGATTTTGTTCAGAAATTCCTTCACATTTCCTTTGGTCTCATACTGGCATTGATTCTCACGTGCCAGGCTCTGTGATAAGAAAGAACAAAGATTGGGTTAGCAAAGATTTCATAAAAAAAATAAAAATTTAGATGAAACAGTAAAAACACACATTATTTGGAGCTACGCAAGGATGTCAAAAACAATTCCTAAAGAATTGTTCCTTGAGCAGTGAGTGTAAGAGTGACTTTTCATGGTGACTAAGAAGGTGGCAGGTGGACTGTCTTGTCTTTATAGCTGAAGTAATTTAACCCAGGCTGTTTCAACCCAGAAAACAGGGCAGATAGTATGAGAAGCTGGGCAAGACTAGGGCAATGGGTCTGCTCAGTGTTGCAATGCCATCCTAACAATACTAACAGAATTGCAAGTTTGAAGCAGCTTGAAGAGCTGGAGCCACTGCATCATCAGCATCTTCTGTGTCTCCTTGAATTAAACAACAGCTTTGCTCCTTACATCAATAAAGGATGTTTCACTGCCTCGGAAGAGGCACCTGGGGATCCAAGAGTCTTCCTGAGCATCATCATGAGTTTGATGATGCTGCAGGTCACAGCAGTATTTCATGCCCAAGAATTGTTGCAGAAACTGCAGCTTAGGTAGAATTAATGCTGCAGAGGAGAAGGATGCTCTGCCTACCTGGCCCCAGCCAAGCAGCTTCTTCACATCCACCCTCCAGTTTTATATCACAGTTACTTAGTGTCAAAGCACATTTTGAGGAGAACAGAAAAGCTATTTAAATAACGCTCTTCTCCCAGATATCTATGTTGGAAGATCCTCATACTAAAAGGGTTTGGAGAAAGGAAAGGGCACACTGGGGTCCATTTCCCTCCTTCCTCTGCCTACTTTAATAGCTTTGCACTGCCTCACACACACTGCAGTAATCATATCTGGCTCCTGCACAAAACAAGTACTTAAAACACATCTGAAATTAAGGAAACACTTATCTACAAATGTTTAATTCTATTAAAAAAATACTTTCTTTTGTAAAAGATAGACAAAGATCTGTAGAAAAGTAAGCAAGTCTTACTTGGCAGAGGTTTCTATCCAGTAGAGACTGAAAGGTCAGATAAAGCCTTGTAATAACTGCATTGGAAGATTGGTTGTTTTCCATCAGGTGTTTGGTTCCTTCTGCAAAGCATGCCAATTCATGGCCAGGCTGTTAAACAAAGGAGCCATTAGAAAAAGCTAGAATGCATTTTGTGTATGCCTACAGAAAAAAAATAGAAATATGCATTCCTAAATGTGCCAGCATGTCAGTTAAATGTAATGTATTTTGCCATCGCTTGAAAACTGGTACAAGAACTTTAGGAGGTTCGAAAATAGTGAATCCTTATATATGCCATAAGAAATATACCTGTCACATCTCCGAGAAAAACCTCAAACTGTAAAAGTAACCTCTCTGATTTATAGTTTCAGCCAATGCTGGTGTTTCACCATACCTGAGGAGGCATAAAACAATTAAATAGTGCTAGATACACCTAGAGCTAAGTCTGGCCCAGGTTCGCTCAGTAGTCAGTCATGAAACAAGGTCTTGCAGAGGTTTTCAAAGCAAGAGCCTCTATCTCTTGATGTGTAAGTCAAGCCCACAAAGGACTTTTGCCTGATTCTGGGCTTGGTTCTGATTGTACTGTGATGGCAGAGCTTGTGCTTCCCTCCCCACTGCTACTCATCAAGCTCAGTACTGCCACTACTGCTGTATTAAAATCCCCCTCATAACTGAAAGCAAAAGTTTTATAAGGAGCAAAGTGTACAAACTTAACCAACCCTTGAACATCTACAATAGCTTTAAAAGAATACACTTACCTCAGGAATGGGAAGACATGAACATGACTGAAAATGAAAAGAGTGAACGTTAATATCCACCATTGAATGCAAGAGTACAAGTTTGTTTAGTCTCATCTTCTCCAAAGCCAGGTACTTACACTGACAGCTGTCTGCCTGCATGGGCAACTCACAGAACTATCCCCCTGTAAGAACACCAAGGGAAAAATCAGTATTTATTAAAAATCTCTGCACAGACATGCATTTTTACAGAATGAAGGTGCTAAACAGCCACTTACAAGCAGGCGCATTGTATAGCGGATAATTTCCTGGACACTGCAATACTCTGCTTGCACAGAGAGCAGCAGACAAGAGAAGAGTATGTATGACAGCATGCTGGCATTCATGTGAACTCAGTCTGATGGGTGACAGAAGAACAGGAGGACACTCCTTTTAATTGAGTCTTCACAAAATTCCCATTCTAACATGGAAAAACCCAATTATAAAACCGATACCAGGTGCCCACTATTTTTTCCCACTAGCTTGGACAGCATTTTATAGAAATCAAATGTGGAATTGAGTCACCTACGGCAGTGACTTTTCTTTAGCACTGTGGAAATTCACAAATGCTCCTCAGAAATGATTAATTTGAACATTATGGTATCACACCCCAGCAGGAAACAATGGTTAAAAATCTACGAAAGCTTTTTTTTTTTTTCAGATGTGGGTTTTGTCTCCTGCACTTATGTAAATTACAGTTCCATGAAAGCAAAGAGACAATAATGTTCAGCATTGCCAAAGTTCCTGAGAAAGCAAACTGATGTGCTGCAGAGTAGCTTTCCCCTGGATTCAGAACTGGACCTTGCTCAAAGGTAGCTGGTGATACTGCAGGGGGCTGTGGAGCAGACAGACAAATGGATGGAGTAGTGAAGCAGTGCCTGGACAAGTTGTCCCACTGAATTACAGCTGCTGCATCCAGAGAGTGATCCCATAGTCCTTGACTGTGATCCCACCTCTGCTGAGTGCACATGCACCAATGTGCAGCTAAGGATGGGACCCTCA